AGGTCGCCTATTTACAGTGCTGGGAATATGCACGGCCCGGTTCCGAATTCATGAGTCGACATTCATTGCTTCCATCGTCGTATTGCGCCAATGCTCCCAAAACCTAATTCTCGGAATACATTTCCTCCGCGAGCATGGAGCCATTATTAACCTTCGAGACCTGCTCATAACGTTCTCTGACGAACATACAGCCGGAATAACGAATGCAGCTGCGCAGACCACAATACTTCGACTCGCTGAGTACACCATCGCACTTCCGCCGCGAGCCAGTATGTTGGTAACTGTGGAGAGTGACTGTGACAACAAGAGTAGTGACGTCGCCGAAACTAACCTCTCAGTGCTCTTGGCTCGGAAGATTTGTGTCCTACGCGCTATCGTCCAACTGAAACATCGGAGGACTCAACTTATGATCTCGAAGTTCAGCGGCCAGTGCCAACACTTGGCAAAGTGAACAGCGATTGCGAACTTTGAAGCCATTGATGATGAAGAACGTTCCACTAGTGCTCCAATTGTCACTGCCGCTGAAGGTGACCCTGCATTAGCCAGTACAGTTGACGTGAATTATCAGCTATTCTTTGCGCAGCAGCATCATATACGCATGAATTTACATACGCATAGTGACTGCTTTGCGTCCACGTCCAAAACCAAGCAGACCCCAACCTTGAAGCACCGCGCCATAACGCAACCTACCAAACGGCCCGTACGACAGTACACCTACCACTCGGCTGCTAACCCGCAGGTCGCGGGTTCGAATCCCGGCTGTGGCGGCTGCATTTCCGATGGAGGCGGAAATGTTGTAGGCCCGTGTGCTCAGATTTGGGTGCACGTTAAAGATCCCCAGGTGGTCGAAATTTCCGGAGCCCTCCACTACGGCGTCTCTCATAATCATATGGTGGTTTTGGGAAGTTAAACCCCACATATCAATCAATCAGTACACCTACCGCATGTCGCAAAAAGAACAAGAGGAAATACGTTTTCAGGCGAAACAAATGTTCGACGATGACGTCATCCAACCCTCGAACAGTCAATGGGCGTCACCCGTCGTACTTGTTAAAAAAAAAGACGACACTCTTCGATTTTGCGTCGATTACCGGAAGCTCAACGAAGTGACGAAGAAAGACGTCTACCCTCTCCCACGCATAGTTGACTCACTGGATCGACTTCGACATGCCCGATATTTTTCATCAATGGATTTACGCAGCGGCTACTGGCAGATCAAGGTCGATGAACGCGACAGATCAAAAACAGCGTTCATAACTCCCGATGGCATCTACGAATTCAAAGTGCTACCGTTTGGATTGTGCTCTGCACCTGCAACGTTCCAAAAGATGATGGACACCGTCCCGTGCGATCTGAAGTGGGAATCCTGCCTCGTTTATTTAGACGACGTCGTTTTTTCCGAAACATTTGACCAACATTTACAACTTCAGTCCTTCTTCGTCGCTATTTGATCCGCAGGCCTATCGCTAAAACCGGAGAAGTGTCATTTCGGCTACGAAGAGCTAAGGTTCCTCGGCCACCTTGTCAGTCAAGATGGCATTCGACCAGACCCAAAAAAGACTTGCTGCATTTCCTACACCTTCGAACAAACAAACTTTGAGCCCACTTTTGAGTCTCTACGCCTACTACAGGCAATTTGAGCAGAGCTTTGCTAACATCGCTCAGCTCCTTACGCGCTTAACGAAGGAGGATACTCCTTTTGTATGGGGTTCAGAGCAAAGAGCTGCTTTTTCCAGACTTCAACAGCGCCTTCAGAGTGAACCCTTTCAAGGGCACTTTAAATAAGATGCCACCACCGAACTTCACACTGAGGCAAACAACATCGGTCTTTGTGCAGTGCTCGTCCTGTGGCGAGACGGCGACGAACGTTCCATCGCTTATGCTGGTCGCATTCTGTCATCTGTGGAAACTAACTACTCGACCACGGAAAAGGAATGCCTTGCTGTTATTTGGGCGATATCAAAATTTCGACCATATCTGTATGGCCGTCCATTCAAAGTATTCACGGACCGTCATGCCCTCTGTTGCTTTCTTTCAAGAAAGCAACACAATACCAATCAAGAAGGGTGTAAGGCAGGGGGACACAATCTCCCCAATGCTATTTACCGCGAGCTTACACGACGTTTCCAGAAGCCTAGAATGGGAACAGTTAGGGATAAGAGTTAATGGAGAGTACCTTAGTAACCTGCGCGCTTCGCCGATGACATTGCATTGCTGAGTAACTCATGGAACGAATTGCAAGTCATGATTACGGAGATAGACAAGGAGAGCAGAAAGGCGGGTCTTAAAATGAATCTGCAAAAAACGAAAGTAATGTACAACAACCTTGGAAAAGAGCAGCGCTTCGAGATACGTAATAGTGCTCTTCAAGTTGTAAAAGACTATGTCTACTTAGGGCAGGTAATAACCACGGGGCCGAACCACGAGATTGAAGTAACTAGAAGAATAAAAATGGGGTGGAGCACATTTGGCAAGCACTCTCAAATTATGACAGCTAGATTGCCACTATTCCTCAAGAGAAAGGTATATAACAGCTGTATCTTGTCGGTACTTAGCTACGGAGCAGAAACCTGGAGACTTACAAAGAGGGTTCAGCTTAAATAGGACGACGCAGCGAGCACCGGAAAGAACAATGGTAGGTGTAACCTTAAGAGACAAAAAGAGAGCAGAGTGGATTAGGGAACAAACGGGGGTTAAGGATATCATAGCTGTAATCAAGAAGAAGAAATCGACATGGGCCGGGCATGTAGCGCGTAGACAGGATAACCGCAGGTCGCTAAGGGTAACTGGATTCCCAGAGAAGGTAAGCGGGTTAAGGGGAGACAGAAGGATAGGTAGGCAGATGAGATTAAGAAGTTTGCGGGTATAAATTGGCAGCAGCAAGCACAAGACCGGGTTATCTGGCGGAACATGGGAGAGGCCTTTGTCCTGCAGTGAACGAAGTCAGGCTGCTGATGATGATGATTATGATGATGATGACGATGATGATGATGATGATGCCCTCTGTTGGCTGGCCAATCTCAAGGGCCCTTCAGGGTGCCACGCGAGGTGGAGCTTGCGCTTTCAAGAGTTTGACAATACAGTCGTCTACAAGTCGGGCCGCAAGCACATTGGTGATGATTGCCTTTCGCGCGCTCCCCTCGCGACGACATCGGGCGATGATGATACCGGTGGCCATTTTCTTTGTGCAGTCGGTAAATCTGACTTGGCCTAACAACAGTGGAATGATTCAAAGCTCCGACAACTAAACAAATACTTTCAAGGTCACAGCTTGAGTCCACCATCGGCAGTCACACGTTCAGGGTCATTTTGTCTCCGCAACGACATCGTCTGCAAAAAGAACTTCGAACTTATGCGACTGAATACCTCCTCGTCATTCCACTAGGGCTACGTGCTGGCATTTTATCTGCCTGCCACGACGAGCCTTCCTCCGGCCACCTAGGTTTCGCACGTACCCTTGCCCAGTTTCGGACTCACTACTACTGGCGAAAGCTCACCCAGAATGTCAAGCATTACGTTAAAACGTGTAATTTTTGCCAGCGCCGTAAAGCCCCACCTGTGCACCCTGCAGCCTGTTGCACCAGCCTGTGCAGCCTGTGTTGCTCTAGCCTGTGTGTTTATTGCAGCCTGTTGCACCACTGTCACAACCGTTTGAACGAATTGGCATGGACTTGCTTAGGCCCTTCCCGAAGTCACATTATGGCAACCACTGGGTCGTAGTCGCTTCTGACTATTTGACAAGGTACTGCGAAACGAATGCCCTACAACGAGACACTGCCAATGAGATTACGTATTTTTTCATGAACAACATTGTCCTCTGCCATGGAGCGCCAACAGTTCTTATCACTGACCGTGGAACAGCATTTACAGCCCAATTGATGCAATACTTCAAGTGGCATGGTGAAACAGCTCATCGCAAAACGACCCCATAGCATCCACGAACCAATGGTCTGGCAGAGAGATTAAACAAGACGCTCGCTGACGTGCTATCCATTTACGTCGACCACGATCACAAAAACTGGGAAGAAATGTTTGTCATACGTAACGTTCGCTTACAACACTGCAGTTCAAGAGACTACGGGTTTCACTCCCTTCCGGTTGTTTCACGGCCGAGAAGCAATTACAATGCTAGATGCCTTGTTCGTGCCTGACATGACCGATAATCCTACTCATGCGAACGACTTTATTCGGCTCGCCGACGCAGCCCGGACCCGAGCGGATCCGAAAACAACAACGCATCGACTCGCAGAGGTACAACGTCTTCGCCATGTTATTTACCAACCCAGTAACCTGGTGTGGCTGTGGATCCCCGTTCACCAAAGGGGCTGCTCGGAAAAGTTACTTCACCGCTACTTCGGTCCTTATAGAGTACCACGGCGCCTCACAGATGTCAACTACGAAGTCTTGCTTGAAGACACAACTCGGCGATCTCGACGTTCCCAGCAGGCGGACATAGTTCATGTACCATGGATGAAACCATACTACCCCCAAGCAACCTGACACTGCTGCATCAGGCGCCTTTGTGCGTGTACGCAATTACTTTAACTTTCAATCGGCATTGAGCATCAGGGTGGTACTTTTTTTGGAAGGGGTAATGCCACGGGCATGGAACGAGATTGAGCCATGCCAATGCGAGTATGTGCCATTGTGTGAAAAAGAAGAGGACTGGTTGTGTGCTCGTGGTCCAACGTTCGGTTTGGCTCGACGTCCAGTGCTGCTGCTCCTGTGAACAGACGTAGTGGTCTTTCCGTAATCACGTGACAATATTTACAGTATATAATGAATTCCTGGGGTAAGCAAGACTATCGTTCTATTTTCCGAAAAATCAACATTTCGTTCATTGCTATCAATACTTTTTACTCTCGTCAAATATATGCTATTTATCAGTGCGTATTAGGGTTTATAGAGCAGTTTCATGCTTTTTTTACTCCTATCAGTGTTTTATTTGCGTAATTCGTGAGGAAAGAAATAAACTACTTTCACTCAATTTCATCTTACAGATTTACGACGAGAAAGGCTTGGTGGACCCGTACGTAAGTACCTATTCGAATTAATAAACCCTTCATGCCATTCATGCCAGCCGTAAAAACATTGCAAATTTTAAACCTCTTCAAATCACTTGCAACGATAAATGTTCAAACTGCAGAACAGTGAAGGTCACCGAAGCCGGAATTATTTGTTGAATATATTGCGGTCCTTTCGTATGAAGGCTGCTTTCTGTAACTTGAGGCTATTCTATCAGTTACTTGGGGCTTCTAGCATCTCCCCCAAAAGCTGTGAAGGAGGAATATGATGTTGTGATACTTAAAATAGCGATATGTTTGTGCTATTATGTTCAGTCTAACAATGAAATTAGCTGTAGGTTGTGTGAAGTGAAAATATTAGACTAGATACTGCCTGTCTTAAAAAAACAAAGAAAACAGAGTGTGGTGTGGAAACGCCCCAAAAGAGTGCTCTTGGGGCGTTTTCCAACGAACCTTGATATTTTTCTTCAGTAGGGAAATAAGTGAATCACTTATGCTAGACAAGACTTAAAAAACAAATACCTGAAGTAAGCACAGCAAGCGCAAAATTGGCGTACCACCAACTTGTCACCTGCTTACAAAAACTTAGCTAAGAAAGCGGTCGTCTGGTAGCTGGAACACACTCTAACCTTGCCGATGGTATGTCCAAGAAAGGCAGCACTTCTTACGGCAAGCGGCAACCATGTTGGCATGACTGCTTGAAGACCTGTGACAACAAAGAGGAGGTGCTGTCTGAGGCAAGGCAAACATAATTGGCCGCGTGGCCAGCAGAAGATTATAATCCTTCGGGGACATTTGCAGCAAAGCACGCAGTTATGCCACCATTTTTTTCTTCGTTTTGATCTCTTGCCCATAGCACGTGCCTCTTGCCCTCTCGTTTAGATCACTTGTCCAGAATATTCATTCTATAAGTGAAATGAATAAGTTCAGATACTTTATATTTCACACGCTCACATATAGATGGAAAACTGAAGGGTCCCTTGCTACTATCACCGGAACAAGCGCAAATTTTGGAAAGTAAGTACCTTTGTCTGATACCATCCTGCGAGCAGGTGACCTTCCTTTTCATACTGCTTTTTTTTTGTTAAAAATGACTTATGAACAACAATTACGAATTAGCACGCGTCGTTTTACCAAACGGTTTTACACTAGGCTTTTTTAGTATCTGCTATACACGTACTTTATTCGGAATATTCATTAGGTTTGTTTGATCTGGAAACTCCTATTGTGATGTATTGTGTTTTGTGCCATTTTGCTACAGACAACCTAGAATTAAATTGAGATTCTTGACGCGCCATCCAGGAAGCTACGTGATACCTAAATCAGTGAATACAGTTTTGAAGGGAGTTGTTTTCTTCTGGTCATCGAAAAATTCTCATAACAAATTATGATCGTAAAATATTACATAACTTCACAGTCATCAAGTTTCTGAGAACTTGCGGCTTACTCTTGGCTTGGAGAAAGCGCTTGAGTATATTTCTCAAGAACCTCTGCTTCGAAGCCTAAATATCAATGGCCATGGTAAAAACATGTGCTATTTTATAAAGGTTTCCAGAACGTGAGCTTGAGTGTTTTTGTGAATATTTGTTTTGACGTTTTTACGATATATTTAGCTGCACATCTTATACGTGTATTTTCAACGTTTTAATAACATAATCGTGTACTCATTTGCCTCCATACGTTGCTTCCAGTTTCACTTGTGCTGCTTTGTAATTGAATAAGTTGCTGGAAGTTAGTTCTGTATCCACGTCGCACCCCTGCGTTCTTGTCCATTTCGTGTGCTTTGGCTATAAGAGATTCCTCATCGGATTCCTCATATAAGAAATCCTCATAACGTGAAATGTGAAAATTGATACCATAAGTGTTACCGGGGAATGAGCAAACCTTTCGCGCTAAACCCGTATTCCGCTACCGTGACATTGCTGTGTGCTCCTAAGACGAATAAACACAAGAGCAGTGCAGCATATTCAGCGGACATGTTTCTCTGTAGCATGCGTGTAATTTGGCGAGGACCACGTCACCTTCCAGTGCCACACTTGGTCTCGCGAGCTAGCTTAAGGTGTCACCAAATTGATCTCTTCAGAGCTAGAAGTGAAAATACTTATGTGGGCTGTGGCTAGAAGGAACGTTTTGGCGAGCGGTCTTCTGTAGCTCAAGACTGCAACGCCGCTCAATTTAGAGACTTGAAGAAGACAAATTGATTTGCTTATGTGCTGGCATCAGTGGTAATAGTGTTCAAGCATACTTCAAGTATTCACGCTTCCATCTCCACCTGAACATCTATCCTCACTCATCAATCTTATCCAAACTTTTTGCCCACCTGGCCAAATAACGCGGTAACAGTAATTCACATGATAAACAAAAATTTCCCCATTTTTGTCAAAAGTTGCGTGTTCATTTAGAATATCTAATTTTTCGGCAGTATAGTCAAACTATAAACAGAAATTCCTACTCATATATACACCGCACAATATACCACATTGTGCCGTCTCAGTTTTGGTTCTGCACGTGTCTTTAAACGAAATAAGCCCTCATAGCCGCTAGTAAGGCAAAAGTCTTGGATGCGCCATAACTTACTAAATTTTGAGAGTCGGCCTCCAGTGTCAACACCGTCAACAGGATTGGTGCGAAATATCGTCCACTGATGCTGTCACTAGAAGAAGTCCTCATTACGTCAGTAATGGCAAAATTTGGCACGTCAGATTAACGTCACTATGAAACCAAGTGACGTGATACCAGACTAGACGTCACCACGTCACCTTTTTCTTTGTCGAAATTTCGGTGTACAAGGAGGCAGTGAATTACCAGTTAAGGAGGAGAAAGTTCACAGCACATCAGGATGCTCCAAAACTTCAGGCTAGAAGTGAGCCATATTATGTGCTGAAATACATGAAAAGGAGAAGAAAATGCTCATTAGGCCTAATTTCAAGAAAACGGCAAGAGATTTCAGCTCCCACAAATTTTAGGCGAATGCAGATTGGACCCTAGAAGTTTTCTTACCACAATGGAAGAGAATTAGACAGGACATTACCAGCCAACTGAATGGTCCTGAATTAAACGCGAACATGGACAATTCCTCCACCATAGAAATCAGTAATTGACAAAGTTTACACGTCAAGGTCTATCGGGCGCTCATTGAGCTTGCCCGGGCCGTCACAGAAGTTGTCATACCTGGCCTTGAATAGCAACCCGCCCCGTTTTCGTTGCATTTGAATAATATTTGTTTTCATCATCCTCACCGAAGAAGACGACTGTTTATGCTGCATGAATATAACAGAGCTTGTACAATGTTTATTGGTATTCGGCTGTTAGACACCAATAGCACTTTTATCAAGAATGAACCGAAGTAGACACTTAGTAGCTCATTTGCGCCCCGAGGACGTATGTCCATTACACAAACTTGACCCTTGGGGCAGCTGAGGTTGTAAACATATACCCGGACGCCACATATGGTAAACCTCACGCAAAGACGCGTTCAGGAAGCACTTAATAAACTACTGTACGTTGTACGCATTGCTCGAAGTCTTTGCAAAGCCTTATTAGAAACGTCACGCTTACATCTGGTCGTGACTTCTCGCGCTGCGAGGGGTGAATTTGGTGCCACATCAGAAGAGTGTCAGAGAGTTAGTTTTAATGTGCATAAATGTCACCAGCAAAGCTTGCGCTATGGCTGCCACCTCACGGTGTGTTAAAGCGTCGACAATCTTACAGGTCTCTCACTAAAAAATGCGCTAAAATATATAGTCGTACCAATAAAGCGTAAGGTGCTAATCGATGGTCGCGCATTACTTCCGTCCAGGGCTTCCAGACAGCGATACTACTCTGCGAACCATTATGACTGTGAAAAGAGCGTCTGACAGATAAATGGCTCTGTCGCCTAGCCTTCTTCTAGTGTTTGGAAGTAAAGTCTTAGTTTAGACACCTGCCCGTCTTCCTCGCACTCTGAGAGGTCGTCGAATATACTGTTTCCAACAGCAATTCCTATAGATTTTCTTCTTTACTGTTTATTCACACCAATATGTTGTTCATTTATTTATATAATATGATTATACAGTGAAAATCTTTCTGGGCCCCATCATAATGAATTATGACAATAAAAAGCTATATTTCTAATATTAGTGAAAATGTTACTTTTTCCGTAAAAAGATAAGTCTACATGGTTATTTTATTATTGCCGGTGATACCAAAACTCTAGCTTCTGCTGAGAATTTTATTCAGCATTTCAAAGTACTAAACCTGCTTTGCTCCAGACCCGGAGAGTGCTGTTATAGAAATAATTCATTCTCAATTCAGGATAAATTTGTTTTCGTACTGTTTATATGCGAAATATTTTGGGTGAGCGTCTGCTTTTTCTGTGTTTTACTCTACCATTCTATCAAACCATCTATTATGATCACCTATTATTTCCTACTCTCTTGACTGTTTCGTTCAGAGCATGCGTACAAAATGTGCTATAGTGTGAGATAGTGACGTGCATGACAATTAGAGCATAAAATGCATGTCATTCTGATGACACTCTCGCAGCCATTTCGCACTCTTAATGTACACCACCGTTTTTATGGCGAGACATGAGTGAATAAAACACCCATATGACACATCGCAACATAAATATCACACACTAGGTGCCACACGTATTGCATAGTTAGCTTTCATGAACGAAAGTGGGTACGGCCCTACTTGATTCAATGGATAGCATTGCAAATTACAAGTCCTAAAATGCAGACACTCGGGGTTTTCCGGGACTTCTGAGACACTCAGGGACTTCCGTTTGTTTATCTTACATTACCCCCCCCCCCACACACACACAAAATAAAGATTGTATATTTGATTTGAATCATCCTCGTTATACTCGTGTAACTCATCGAGTGAACGCGTATGAACATGTATACTTAGTAAAAGAGATAGTTTTGGGCTATGATCTTTCTATAAGTAATCTAATAAGGCTCGTTTTGAAAAAAGAATACTGATTATTTTATATTGACAATATCAATAAGTCATCTCTACTAAACGATTTCGAGCATCGTCATAATATGTCGGAACTGTTCCTTTTAGTGATCGCAAGTACAAGACAGGCGGTACTGCTCGGGCACCATAATAATGGCTCAGTGTCACGAATTTACTATTTCACAGGTTTTTGCGCTAAACGTAATCGTTTGTTGAAGGAGCACTTGCGCAAATGCTTTTTCTGCTTATCACTATTTTGCACTCTATTTTTTGTATAGGCAAATGGAATCGGCGTTGACCACAGCACCACGCTACGCAGCCAGTTGCAGCAAGTTGGAAATCTGCTGAATGCAGCGACTGGTGCGCACCGCTAGTGATAAGAAGCACGACCTCAGGCTCCCGCTCAACGTGACCCGCTGGTGTGAAAGAGATCACGAGAACAGGGCACTCCGAAAGTAAAAAAAAATGAGGCTTCCACAATATGAATATACAGCTGGATAAAACAGGCCACCAGAAGATCACCCCCGAATAAAAGCTTCACTCAAACGCGGCTTTTACAAATGTCGCGAACGTTAGGAGTCTAAATCAGCATAGGTGAATGTACAACTCTTGATGTCATTTCAGTGCACTAAAAAAACTCGTTATCTGTTCCTTGCTTCGGCCGTAAAAATAAATTATCTTGTGGAATTCTCTCATACTGCTGGTGTCTTCGGTTTTTTGCGCGTTGCATTTACACGCAAACTAAGTTTGAACACACTGCCCGCTTTCAATTACTTAAGTTTATCCAATACAATGCGGTGAAACTTGACAGCGCTATAGAAACAGGGCATTGAGCTCTCCAAAACGAGGTTAAAAAATGATATCACACACATACCAGAGCACGCTCCGGAATGGAGCGAGCTCTCTACCGCAGAGCCTTATCGAGTATTAGAGTGGCTACGACCACGAAAAAGGGACAAACCCCGACCATACTCTGCTTCAAATTCAAACTAGTATGTGAACAGCCCTGCTGCATGTCTCTTTTTTTAGAGGAGAAGCTCCTTACGGCTTGGATCGTGCGTCACCTCTGTGCAGTAGCCACCTGTCGTTTTAGTCATTGGAATGTC